CTATATCCACTGCCTCACATACTGCTGCATCCCGATGCCTCCCCCTCCTGCCCCACTGCCCCCCACCCTTCGGCGTCCCAAGCTCCACGACGCCATTTCTCACGAGGGCTGCTCGCACGGAAGTCTGATGAAGCGCACTTTTGTTATTGTTTCGAGAGGATAAGATCTCACTTTACGAGAGAGGACGCCGTTGGACGCCGTCGAGTGCGCTCCGCCCCCGGCTCGGCCCCGCGGCGGCGTCCCATGCAGCGCGCCGCGCCCCACAGAACCCGAAAGCAGCGGTGGTAGCGCCCCTCGCCTAGGGGGGAAGGGGAGGGGGCGCCGGCAAATAGAGGGCGCAGAAAAATAGAGAAGTGTCCTCCACTGGGGTGATGAGGCCATCAGCATGTAAATGCACGTCCCACCTCACGAATTTTCAACACGGAATATTGCTTCCCGTCCCCGGCCCCGGCCCTGCACTGCCCTGCTCGACCCCTGCCTCTGCGCAATTTCTCTTCCTCTTTGTCTTTTTGCCGCGCGCACCTCCGCAGCGCAGCGCACCTAGGCTTCATTAGGGGTGGGAAGATGCACTGGGGCCTCCTCGAGGTCGGGGCGCCGCGCCGAGCAGCGCCGAGCAGCGCGCTCCTGAATACACCCCCGGATCCGTGTAAACTAAACCGAAGCAAAGGGGGCCGGGGCGCCGGCGCCGCCGTCACACTGCGCTGTACTTTGTGGGGGCCGGGGCGGAGACAACGAGAAGAGTTTTAATTAAAACAACCTGCTCTCCTCTCTACACGCGGGGCCGGAGGAAGGGGGGGGGCGCCAGGACTAGGGCCACCCGCCGCCGCCGCCGCGCCGCCCCGAGACCACATGCTGAGTGGGGAAGTGCTCGGGGCGGGCTGGGCCTGGCCGATGAGGGAGGCAAGGCCGCCGAGGAGGGGGGCGCGTCGGGGCTGTCAGGAGGGGCTCGGGGGTGAGGACGACGGGGGGACAGCCGCCGCACGCACCTGCTGCAGGCCGTCCCGTACACGCAGCCCGACACTCGGCTGGGGAGAAAGAAATTACCGGCGATGAAACTATGAAATTAGACAGTACTCCGCGTGGGGTTGCAGCCAAGACGTGACCCCAACACCCTCGTCGAAGTTGTAGAAGGCGGAGTAGTGGTCGGTGGCGGTGGTGGATCGGCTGTGGCAAAGGGCGCCAAGCTCGCCAAGCCGCGGGCGGCGGGAGGCAGCACCACAACACGACCCTACGGCCGCGGCGCGGCTGTCCCTGTCCCGCCTCCTGCTGCTGGACGTGGAGTTTGCTTCCCCCGCCCGATGTATATGGGGACACGGTTGGGTCAAGGGTGGTTGGCGCCTACCGGCAGCGCGGGTAGAGGATTGGGGAGGAGGGGAAGGGGGCGGGGGCATCCCGCTGGGACTTGGACCGGGATCCACAAGCAAAGCAGGAA